GGGAGCGCGTGAGGAGGGCCGCGGAGTCCAGGCAGCGGGCCTCGGCGTCAGTCCGGACTGCTCGCCGGAGAGTGACTGGGAGGAAGAGGAGCTGCTGGTTAAACAGGACAAAACGGGCTTGTTTAGCCGTGCGGGCAGCTCTGGCGGGTTTCTGCGTGCCCTGGCTGGTGCAGCATAGCCCATCCATCGGGCAGGGGAGCGTCCAAATGCGGAAGCTTTTCCTTCGTTGCTAGATAGCCCAAAGCTCACTTGCAGTTTGGATAGCTGCGGTGTAGCGTTTGAGGGCTACAGTTTTAGGAGGCAATGCATTGGAACGTATTAAAACTTCTCTTGTATGGAAGCAGATGAGCATAATTCAGTTCTGCAAGATGAAAACCTGTGACAGTGACTCGCTTCTTGCTCTACAATAAAAGCATTTTCGGTGTATAGAAACAGTTACAAAACAACTGAATCGAGTGAATCCAGTGAACAGCACAGTGCAGACAGCATAGATCTTCCTGTGACTTTATGGTAGTCTTTAGTGTTCATGCATGTTGATCTTCTCCACAGACTTTCAACTAAAATAGTAATGAATATCAGTGGGCAAAGATGACTGTAACTGAAGCAAATTTGATGTTAACAGAGATAAGATAATAATGCAGTGTGGTTGTAGTGGAAACAAAGTAGCAGAGATGATACGAAAACAAATTTGCCTAAGGTCTGCAGGGTGGCTAAACGTGTGCTTAATTTCCTGTGCATGAGGGTAAAGTATATCAAGAAGCACAACTTACTGTTGCTGAATGGTTGTTTTTTCCCATTCCTTTTGACCTGCTGTTTGTGAGTTTTCCTGTAGATATGTTGTATACTAAGATGAATATTTTTCTGTGTTGTGAAGCATGCAAATTCCTTATCTAGGGTGGTTCCTAGAATTTTGAATTTCTGTTTAGAGCAAATTCATTGCAACCGATCACTAAAAATGCCTTTTTAACATTTTCCTTGCAGGTGAAGAAGCTTGGTATTGTTGCTGTGAGTAAGTACGCGCAGATTGTTCATTTCTCATTTGTTGTTTTTTTAACACATCTGACATCAGCACTTGATTATCAAGTCAAAAATGGAAAATTAATTATATGTACTAATACTTAAACTGAAATATGTTGAAAGGAGTCTCAGAAATATCAGATATCAATTTGAAAATAAGAGACTGCTGTTGCAATTGTAACTTAGTTCTCTTAGGGATATACCTTGTGAACCTTCTATTCCTGTCATCTTGTTCTTCCAAAAACACCCCAGGCTTCAAGGACTGATCAATAAATAAAGCAGTTAATTCCAGATCTCCTTTTTTGTTTTTTTTGTGGTTACTAGAAGGCTGTGTTGTAGGAGGAAGATAATTACAGGAACAGAGCAGGTGCAGATGGGAGTAAAAGTCTTCAGGGAATGTTAAAAATTGGCTGGACTGCTGGATACAGAGGGTATAAATCAGTGGCTTGACATCCAGTTGGCAGTTAGTAATAAAGCGTAGCACCCTAGGTGTCAACAGCAGGGCCCATGCTGCTCAGCATCTTCATCAATAGCCTGGGTGATGAGGCGGCGTGCACTTTTTGTAAAAATTTGCAGACAATACTATGTTAGGAGGAGTAGCTGACACCCAGGATGGCAGAGCTTCAGTCTCGCAAGATGTTGCAAAATGCAAGGCCTGGGCCAACAGAAACCTTGCCAAGTTCAGGGAGGGAAAGTGCAGAATCCTGCACCTGGGACAGAACAAGCCAGGAGCTGACTGACTGTGTGGCACCCTGCTGAAAAGGAGCTGGGGCTGTGCTGTTGCCAGGTTGAACGTGGACCAACAATGTAGTGACTGAATAAGGCAATCCGTGTACTGAGCTACATTAGGAACATGACCAGCAGATCAGGGAAAGTGGTTATTCTCCTATACTTCGTGCTGCTGAGGCCATACCTGGACTGCGATATTCAATGTGGTTCTCCCCCTCCCACCACTCCCCTTTCTTTTTCAGGAGGGAAGCTGAGGAATTGGGAGTGTCACTGTGAGAAGAGACATTGAAGTAACTGGATTTATTAGCCTTATGGAAGGAAAAATATGGGGTGACCTAGAGGCAGCCTGTTACCTGAAGGGCAGTTACGAAGATGGCAGAGCTGAATTTGTGGTTGTAATGGTAGACAGTAACAAGGGGCAACAGCCAGAGATTGCAGCTTGAGAGGGTCATAGTGGAGGTTATAAAAAATGCCTCTGACTAAGAGGGAGCTGTAGTACAGTGTAGAGCTTGAGCAGTCTCCTTCCCCAGAAGTTTTCAAGATTCAGCTGGGCATAGCTGCAGTTAGTCTGATATAGTACTAGTGATAATCTAGCTTTGGGAGGAGCTGGGTGGGAGGTTGGACTAGATGATTTTCAGCTGACGTTTAGATGATTCAGTGAGGTGCATGCTGTCTTGAAAAGTAGGTCTTTTACTTCGGTATACCACGAACTTTTGCATGGACTTTATAAAGCAAATATTTTTTTATTAACAGAGAACTTATAAACTTGAGAATAAATAACTGTCGCACAACTGGGACTAGATTTAGAAGATCAGCAGTGAATACACCTGTGAAGACATTAATGTAACTTCTGTTTTTAACTTACAGAATGGTGAAAACGTTGCATATTCTGTGAAATCCTTCTCCGTGGGCTATATCTTCTTACAGATGTAATCATTTAAGATTTTTGAGAAATTGAGATGTTTACATACAAAACTGCGATTGAAGAAATGAACTATGTGCCTCTCTGTGCAGTGTTGTTGGTGTATTGATGTTAGTGGTTGGAGCCCTGAACTTTTTAATTGGGGTGTGCCTAAAACTGTCTTGGCCTAAGTGGACTTGCATACAGCTCATGTGGAGTAGCAGGTATCTGTAACCTGATTGTAGGCCTAAGTCACTGCAAAGGCACTATGTAGGGAAGATGTCTAATGTGGTCAAATAAATGAGACCTCTCATAAAGCACAGCCTTTTTTTTTTGGTTTAGTTCTTCCCATTGAAGCTGTGCTGCAGTACAGCAAAGGCTACAGGATTCTTTGTGTCTGATAATAATTCATAGTACAAAGCAACGTTTTGGGGAAGGCTGCTATGTGATCATGTAAGTTTGTATCATAGGCACACTCCCACAGAATCTGATTTTTGGTCTGGTGTTTCTCTGTACAGTCGTTAGACACTGTGATTTGCATTTTTATATTTTCCTAGATTGGGAGTATTTTTCCCTAGAGAATTTTTTTCAGTTTTCTGCTGTTTGGGACCACACCAAAAGCTTCTTAATGTGGTCTGGAGCTTTGACTCTTTTTGAGCTAGTAAAGTAGCAGATCACAATAGTGAATACTCTTTCTGAAGCAGCCACAAGGTGGGGAGTGAGATGTACGCTTAGCGCGGTGAATTCCTGATGTCTCTAGCTATAACCAGGAAACGGGTGCAGGAGTGGGTCATTAGCTTCTAGATCTGGCAGAATGGCTTAACCTAATATGCATTACTAATGCTGAGACTTCAGTTTTTCATTTGTGTTCCAGTCCAGTGGGCTATGGGGTCTCACAGTCCACAGAAGTGTTACGTTGGGATAACCTCTTTGTAATGAAGTTAACGTGTGCCTTTACTTACAGTGGTAATTCAGTAATTTATTATTAAGTGTTTTTCTAAAAGAACCACCTTGTGATAGGTATGTTACTTAATGTTGTTGTTACCAGTGTGATGTTATTTATGGTAATATTTACCTTAGTCTGAAATGAGTGCATTTCTCTAAGAAATTCAACAGAACGTTGAACAGGAGAGCTTTCTTGATGGGTCACCATTGCTAAATTAAATACACTGTCAGGCTTTCTCTTTTGTTATGAACCTGAAACGTGCTGAACTTTTCTTTTTTTTTGATTAATAGGTAATGCTTTGCCACAAGACATTGCATGTTTGGCAGCAGACCGCATGTTGATATTTGCTTCATATGACAACATTCTCCATGCTTTTGCCAGGAACAAAGAGGTTTTTATTAGTTTACTTATTGCTTAGTAGTACAAAACAGTTGTGTAGTGTTTGTGTTTTCAAGACAGTTAATGTTCTACAAGTGTGTATTTCCGTAGATATTCAGTACCTTAAATTTTAAGGAAACAAAAACTGTAGAAGGAGAAATAAAAAGCTTAGAATAGAAGAATGTATGAGCAAGTTTTGTAATGACTGACCTGTGTTTTATGAATTAATTACAATAATTAGGTAGTTACTTGAAAATAAATTGTTCACATAAATTAAAGTTAAACAAAATAATCAAAATATTTAGTTGAAACATATTTTCTAACAGTTTTAAATATCAGAGAAAATTATCTTCCACTTAAAGCTGCGTGGCCTTTCCTTGTATTTTATTTAAAATTGTTGTTGACATGTGTTACCTGTCCTCAAGTATTATGTTAACATGATATGCTACCTGAACAGCTTATATTGAAACCATTTCTATTTGAAATTACAGGTGGTTCATACCTACGAAGGTCACAAGGCAAGGATACACCTTCTGCAGCCTTTTGGTGATCATGTCATTTCTGTGGATGTCGATAATGTTCTTATCGTTTGGAATATACAGTCAGAAGGTGAGAGACACTTTATTTTTGTTGCTACTTTATGGGCTGGTATAGCATTGTGACATAGTGATTTTAAAAAAAGAAGTTTTTTTTAAATCCACAGGTTCAGAAGTAGTTTATTCTTAGAAAATAAAAAAATCTTTAAATGATATTACCGTTTACATAGTACTCTGGAGTCCTAATCCTACAGTAGTTTTTCATGAATGGATCCTGCACCACATGCAAAGACCCAGTAAGGTTCCCTATAGGTATAAAGAGATATGCTTATGCAGAAATTGCATTTTAGTGTTCCATTCTCTGGTAAAGACTGTGGTACAGAGCTTCATCACCATCTCTGAAATCCTGTCATTCCTTGATATTTACCAGTCTGGGTAAGACTAAATTCTTACGAATAATCTTTTGATTGCGTCAGCATCTTCTCATGCCATTGTAAAGTGCCTTATGAAATCCTGCTTCAGTGTCCTGAAGTTTTTTTCTTTAGAAAGCTTTCTCATTGGTGTGACCAATGTCATTCCTTGGATGCTGAGTCTCAAAAGTGACTGCAGACAGTCTTTAGAGATTTGAAGTTGCTATAACAAGCAAAAGGCATGCTAATCAGATGAGGTGTTTTGCTCAGGCAGGAGCAGGAATCCTTCAGAAAGATATAAATCACTACAGTTTTGCCAGCATTGTGGTGTTAGGTAGGCTTATAGGGAAAAAATATACCTTCAAGCCAACAGATGTTATAACATAAACAAGTTTATCCTGTCCTGTTACGTGTTAGCTAATCCTTTAATGCAAGAAACACCAGTTAGGAGATTTGTACAGAGTAAACACCAGTTCTGCCTTTACATTTGCCAAGGGATGACAAGCGTGCAGATTTGTAGGGGTAGCCACACTAACATTGTTTCTTACTTTGTTGCAGAGGAGTATCTTCAAGTGGATTTTGATAAGACCACTTTTGCAGTTTCTGCAGTTCTGCATCCCAGCACCTATTTGAATAAAATTCTTCTTGGAAGTGAACAAGGGAGCTTGCAGCTATGGAATATAAGATCCAAGTAAGATTCTGAATAACTTGGATACACTTCATGCTCCAAGTAGTTTGATACGCAGCAAATAATACTTCTAAGTACCATAGATTTTGAACATGGAATCTTTTACCTCATGAGTCCTTTGGCACAAGTTTTCAGTTGGTCTATCTCCAGGAGCAAAGAATGCTGCTGCTGCTCCCTGAATGCTGATGCCTTTCAAGTTGCGTAGTGTTTACTCTCACTGAAAAATGCCAGAGATTGTTCAAGAATTTTTTTGTAATTACTTTTCTTTTTAATTTCTTGGAATCACATAGCTTTCCCATGAAAATTAATTAAATTACCAGTAAATGCATGTTCAGACCTTTTGCCTCCCTTCTTCCAAGCTTAATTTTTTAGTTGTTGTGAGTCCAAGGAAGTGCTGGAAAGTAGCATGGAGGTAATTACTAGCATTTGATCATTATACTCAAATAAGAGATGTGTAGACATGTAATTGCCTCTGAGCACGTCCCGGTAGAGCACTGTCCATAGTGGCAGTATTTCATTCCTGCCACAATCAGCTGCTTTCTAACTCATGACAGCTACAGTGAACTTCCTTGCATGATAATGTATGCAATACTGCAAAAAGGTGTTAACTCAGCTTGCGTAGTTCAGTGTTTTATTCTCATAACTATTTGCTAATTTTTTTGTTTCATATTCTGCTGTTTTGAAGTTTCTGGATATGCTATATAAATTGGCAAATAGGAATAACCTAAAAATGCAGAAAAGTAAATGTCTCATGGTACTCTTATGTCTCTTCAATGCCTGTCACAGCATCTGAGATGCAATGCATCTAGGTAACAAAAAGTCTTCCTTAGATGACTTAGTTTCTCTTTTAATTCTGTAAAAATTTACGGGACTGTTACTGCTCTTTAGTAACATTGCTGGGTAAAGCAATATCTGTTTTTGACTGTTTGTTCCCCAAGTAGTTTATTTTGTAGATAGGTGCAGGCACAATTAGACAAAAAAGTAAATTGGTAGAACTCAAGGGAAAGTTTGATGATCTCTGGCAAGAAAACAGAGTGAGACGTGGTAACACATGGCTGCTGGCAGTCTTTTAAGAATGACAACTTATATCTGTGGTGATGGAATAGTTTTTTTAATCATATCTGTGCTTAAATACTGTGTTCATAATTTCAGCCCTAGTAAGTACTGCATGACTGCCTTGTTGGTGAAGTCCTGCTTCACATTTTGGCTATTGCCATTTCTGAAAGAAACAAGATGGGATATGCTTCTAAGACGTTTTAGTCTCTTTATTTAGGGAAATTGCCCAGCAAATGAAGGATTTATTTTTATTAGAAGTTGGACTAAGACTGGCTTTTTATGTTGATATTAAGAATTCTGAAGAGCAGAAACACATGGGGAGCAACTGGCATAGAAGGGATTCTTCCTCCCTATTAATTATGTAATGAATATGTTATGTAATTATGTCACGTTTTCAGTATTAATGCATGGCACTGTCTTTTTCAATAAAAATTAACCATAAGTTTTAATCTTAACCTTACTTATTAGTATCACAGTTGTTCGGGTTTTTTCCCTTTTAACTTGTTTGTAAGGACAGAAAACTGATGGACTTTTCTGTGTAAGTCCATATAAAGCATCCATTTTGTTGTGAAAAATCCCCAAAGGTTAATTGATTCATGTTTTTTGTTTGTTTTCCAGCAAACTCTTATACTCATTTCCAGGATGGCACTTAGCGGTCACAACTCTTGAACAAGTTAGTGTTTTTGGTATCGTATTTTCTTACATAACTGATCAAGAACAGCAGGCAAAATATCACTGTTTAAAATTAAAGCAATAAAGATGACTTGTATTCTCTCAAGTAATTTTAATAACTATCTCTTGAGCATTTGAGACATTGAAGAGAGGTAAACTTGAAGGCTTATCTGCCCTTCCTCGAGTCCTAGTTCTGTTAAATTTTGCGTCCTAGTTGTTTTGTGTTGATGATACCTATAGTCTTGTGTTCATCATGTCTGTAGTCTTTACTCACTGAATGATGTAATGAATTCACAGAAACAGTTTGTTTGCAGGATGCATGTGTATCGTGTAACTTCTGTTACACTGGTAGCTTTTTGTTAAATTTGTTTTTCTTTAGAGGTTAATAAAATGTAGATTTAGCTGATTTAAGAAAAGATTTTGTGAATATGTTTGCTGTATTTTTGTAGATAAAATTTAATTAAAACGTACTGGTAACATTGATGACAGCTTTGAAAATGATCTGGAGTTGTCCTGGATAAAACCTGTAAATATGGAGGTGTGTGTCAGGGTGTATAGTGGCCTACCAGAACTATTGCAAACTTGAAGTGAGGTGTTTTTCAAAGGCTTTACAGCTTCTATAAACAGAATTGCTTCATCCAATGGATACTTGGACGTATGGATCCAAAGCACAAAATCTTGCATCTCTCATTTCTCTTTGTTTAGATTTACCAGACGTTCAGTCATGCATTGAGGTAGTATACACAGAAGATCTCATACGAGATGCCTTATTTGTTTCTTTACTATTTGTCCTGGACTTATATACATTGTCTTGTATGTATTGGTATTAATAGTGCAGCAACAAGCTTTTCCTTTTTCATTTCAGTTGCTGTTCAATTTTTCTTTCAGGCTCCAGCAGTGGATGTTGTTGCAGTTGGTCTTGTATCTGGTCATATCATTGTACATAATATTAAGTTTGATGAAACTCTGATGAAATTCCAACAAGACTGGGGTCCCATCACAGCAATATCTTTTCGTACAGGTAAGTAGTGCAAATGTGGATAAAATCACTAAAACGTAAGTGGAAGGTAGGAAAATACATTTTGATAAAACATTTCAGAATCAAAATTTGCCCTGAGAGTTTTAGTTTTCAGAGGCTGCAGATAATCTAGAAAAGTTACCAATAAATAGGGAGATCATGCATCTTCATCATACTGGCTGCTTTATAGCATTTTCTTGTGTACTAGCTCAGTGCACAGGAATTGTGACATGAAGTATTACTTCTTCCAAGAAATGTAAGACAGTTTATGTTTACAGCGTGCCAAGAGCTAACACATTACACAGTTATCAGAGCTAGTGCAGAGTAATCAGTACTCTCTAAGTTAGTATCCAAACCTGCTTCTCCATAGTGTCTTCCCCCTCCAAAACAAAGTTAGAATGTTAATAGTCGGGTGACTACTGAATGAATGTAACTGAGAACCATTGTTTATATTCACAGCTTTTTTTGGTCTAACGAGCATGTACTAATTCCTCAAGCTAGTTACTTTAGTGTTGATCCTGCCTACAGAGCTGTTGATACTGAATCTAATCTCTCATTTGAATAGACAAACTTGCAAATCTTAACAGAATATAGATTGATGCAGACCCTGTTGAGGAAGACTGCTACTGGAAAGACTTGTGAGACATG